GAATCTTTATGATAACGACGAGTGGAAATTCGTACAAACATGCGTTTTCTTCATTGCATGCATGTACAAGTTGGGTCGATATGGAATCCTATTTAGGGCATTTTCGGCTGTTTTTCTGCTGCTTTTCTCCGCTAATCAGATACCTAGCCCTTTTTCGTTCCTATGTGGGTTCCGTTACCCACAATCTGTGGTCGCGGGCTTTGCCTTTAAGTTGAACTGCTGGTGGATTGTTCGGCAATTTCTGCAAGTTCTCGTGCAGGCTGTTGATTAATGACTAGTGGACGTAACTGGCACGATATTGAACCAACAAAAGGGCATGTATTGATCTCATTCAGGGTGGCTAGTCACGGGTATGTGACAAGAGAATCGTAATTTGCCGCAGAGGCGGGCGCCGCGTGTGAAGTTGCTTGAGCAAATGATGATGGTTCCGGGTTGTAAGTGGCGACAACAAGCAATTCAAGACCGAATAGCCACCAATATCCACGATGATGGATCTACATGAAGTCCGGTGCTCTGATGCTCTGATCGACAGATTAACACGAGCTGAAAAGAACGCCGCGCTCATTGCCCGGGTGGCGGAGCAGCGTCTTCCGCTAGCCACTAGATCACGGAGTGTACATGCGGCGTGTGAGCTACTTTTCTAGACACTTATATTTAGGTAAGAGCTGTTGACTCGGAACACTCGCAATATCTCAATAAGGACTCATGGCGACTACTTCAAGTGAGGCGGTAAGTAGAAGTACTCAAAATAGTGAATATCTGGTAGAAAACTTTACCGGGTTGAACGAGATGTCTTGTAGAACGTTAACGCGATGTCTCCTGCAAAAGCCGTTATCTGATGCAGATTATGCAGCACTAGATATGCATTATTTTACGGCTTTACCGTTGAAGGTTCAGTCCACGCCGGTCGTAATCGAAGGGCTCAGCGAACTACTGTGCTTGCTTCATTTGGGGGAGACGTGCAACAGAATCGTCCGGGGCAGCGCCCGCGGCACGCGGCGCGTCGCGCGGCGAATGACAGCAGCTCACGACGTGCATTTGCTAGCCGATAGCTCTGCGATTGGAGCAATTGATTTCTGTCACCGTACATCTGCAACAAACTTCATCAACAATTGAGAATCTAACGACGTTTTTCTCCGTAATAACGCACAATTGCTTGACGATCCATTGACGTAACTTCAAGAAATAAAAAATCACAAAAGATTAAGTGAGGCAGTTGTTTTCCCTCGTTTTTGTGGTCACATGATTCGCGCAGTCGTCAGCGCCAACATTTAATAGACGAATGGTCAAGTTGCTACAGGCAATAAGGTTGGTCAAAAACACTAGTCATGAGCAACAGAAGCGTTCTAGTTTCTTATCTTACCTTCCAGAAAACGCTACTGGACGATCCGCAGAAGAAAGGAGTTGATCTTCATGATGCCTTACTCAAATTTTACAAACAGTGGTACAGCGCCAACATGTGGGTGTTAACGCGGAAATATCCTACTATATATAATCCGCTACCTTTGTCTGTTGGTGTGTGTGTGTGTGTGTGTGTGTGTGTGTGTGTGTGTGTGTGTGTGTGTGTGTGTGTGTGTGTGTGTGTGTGTGTGTGTTTTGACCGGAAATTCATAACTTCCTTCAAAACAGCGATAGAGCGCTCAAACTGATGGGTGATGTAGGGGGTCGGGCAGGAACACTATTGGTGGGTGGCAGGAAGTGATAGCAGTTGATAAGAGCTGATAAGCGGCCTTATAAGGGCAAGGTCAGCAAATTCATAACGCGTCACAGCAAGGCTAGAGTGTTGGTTCCAAGAAGTAAGATAGGGGGCAGGATGGGAACATTATTGGTGGGTGGCAGGAAGTGATAACAGCTGATAAGATACCACGAGGAGCCTCAGAAAGAGTTAGTTACCTAGTTCATAACGCCGGCCACAGCAGCGATCGGACGTTGGTTCCAGTAAGGCATTGTTCACAGTCTCCAGGCCCTGACGAAACGGCGGTTGGGAGAAAAGCAATAAATAGTCATCGATCGGAGAATCGCCCCGCCCAACCGTCCAACCGCCGGTTGGGCGGTTGGGCGAAAAGCAGTAGATGTGTATCGATTTCGCTGGCGAAAAACGCCACCGCGATGGAGCTAGCGTTTTGTCGAAGGCGAAAAACGTCGCGGTTTGGCGAAACGCCCGTCGATACGTACCAAAACCCTTTCGCCCAACCGCCAGGCTCTTCGCCCAACCGCCAGTCGATATGTATCGAAAGCTTTTCGCCGAACCGCCGCGTTTCAGAGAAACGCTGGACCGCAGAGTGTGAACAATGCCTTAGTGAGATCGGGCGTAGGATGGGAACATCATTGATAGGTCGTAGAGAGTGATAACAGGTGACTAGATACCATAAGGAGCCTTAGAAGGTAGGTCATCTAGGTCACAACGTCGACCCTAGCATAACAGGCCTCGGTTCCAAGAAGTAAGAGGGGGGGGGGATGTGAACATTATTGGTGGGTGGCAGGGCGTAACAACAGCTGATAAGATACTATAGGGGCCACTTCAGGGAGGAAGCCACAAAATTCAATGCACGAGTTGTAGCACACTGGGGAACTTCTTCCAGTAAGCAATTCAGAGGTGGTTAGGGTACATTGGTGGTGGGAGATAAGTTGTGATATAGTGTACGACAAGGGTCAGTATCTGTTCGCAGCTTTACTCCGCTTGCGACTGATGTTGACCACCGTGGCCCATGAAATCAATGGGCAAAGGCTCAGTGAGCCAAGATGTTTCTATCCTTTAGTGTTATAGTCGGAATTGATTCGACCGCTAAACTCTCGAGTTTCGACAAAAAGTAAAAGCTCAAAGTTGTTTGCCAGTGGGGAATGATAAGGCCACCAACAGACGGATATGTGAAAGCTGCTCAACGGAAGTATCTTGATGTAAGCACATTCCACTATGATCTCGGTATTGTTACCTTTCGACCGCTAAGCCGTTTTATTGCCAGCGAATGATCTGTGTTTTTAGAAATCTGATAAGCACATTGGCAATTTCTAAAGAGGAGAAATATGGAAATATGATGAAATGGGCCGAATTTTGAAACATGGGAATCAGGCCAAGTGTTAGGGGTCAGCACAGAAATCCTGTCATTGATCAGGACCATTGACACTGAACCATGCGCGCAGTAGTGCGCGTCAGCCAATCTGGTGAAATATAGAAGAAATAAAAATGAGGACCTATTCCATGGTGGTGATATAGACAGAGGGCCTAGCACTGATTTCCCCCGTTGGCGCGCACTCCTCTTCACCCTTGTGAACTAGGGGCAACACTGATCAAAGCTCAATGGTGGGTCTTACTCCACCCACACGCCTACATGATAAGCATAATTTAATCCTTTATACCTCAGTAATGGTAAGTCTCATAATCATACCAGGAGATTTGATCTTATCTTTTGCTTTTCACAGTATGTCGTTATGTATTGTTGACTCGAAACCACTGGATGTCATGGAGTCGACCTTGGCAGATTTGGACTTTGGAGCGATTGAAAACAAAAATGTGGAACGAAAAGAGTGGTTGGAAAGTCCGTACGGTGAAGAGCAACTCGGTAAACGTATTGAGGTGAGCAAAACCGGACAAGCTTTCTTGAATCCTTCACTTCCCCCTATTTTCATTCCTATTATTTATATGCGGGAATTGTTCTAGCATGTCGCCGTGTTACCATGCGATTTGTGCATTCTACTTCCACACGTTCTACTTCCATTCAGAATCGTAGTGGCTTATTGAATGCGATGTGGCCTATACAATGACTTGCGGTGGCCAGCCGATGTACAAGTCAGTGTTTTATCCTCCCAGACGAATCTGGTACCAATTTACCGTCCCCGGAGGGTAGAAGGCTTGGTTGGCCTGGGTGAGGGATTTGAACCCGGCATCGCGCGAGTGGTAAGCGCGCCACTTGTCACTACACCACCTCCGCGCCAATGAATATCCGCCATGAATAATAAACAGATGAAAATACACTTCCGGACCTTTCTATCGCAGAAGCACATCTACTTGCACACGGAGGAAGCCCTTTCTAGAAGTTGCACCTTCCCAATAGCTCTGCGTGAAAGCGTTAATATTCTCGGCAAAAACATGCGTTTTAAAAGCATACCAAAGTCTTTAGGCCAACTGGAGGTTTTATGGCGTCGGTTGATTTCGTGTGTGGGGCAGTGATCACGGAGTGATCACAACGGGGAGTTTTCTAGAATAGCAGGCCTAGGGACAAATTGAAAGATCTGCTGGAAAGAAGAAAGCTTCATGCTCCCCGCAAATTTTTTTTACGAATGGCTTTGTATGAAGCTTGTTATGGCTGTTCGAAGTCATAGGACTTGTGGGTGACCCCCCCCCCTAGGATCACGGGAGGATCACAATGGAGAATTCCTTGAAAAGGAATGTTTTGAAATCCTTCAAAGTCGAGTAACAAGAGCCAACCTAGTGCTCTACATTATTGCTTTCTCCTGTCCAAAAGCTCCACTCTCAATAAGATATGGGTGTCAGGCGAGGTTCACTTTCCGAGTGTTTGGCTTGAAATTGGCTCCAGATCGTAAAATAGCGCGCTCCAATACGTTTGTATTAGCGCGCTCGCGTGCGGATGACCGCGAACGACTAATATTCAAAAGCTAAGCCATAGTTCTAGTTCCTAGTACTTCTGGTGA